AGTCTACACACTCATCCAGCATCAATATTCACCCTCCAAGATACTTTGAGTATGTGACAACAACCGTGTCAGAGATCAGAGGTAAAGTAGAAGACATCCTGAGAGACACATGGGCAAACATCTTACTGACAGTAATGGAAGTGGAGGTTTTGCTGTCAGAACCAGAACCGACAACCAGATCTGAATTGCTTAAATATTCATGTGAAATCACTCTGAATCCAAATACAGCAAACAGAAATCTGATTTTATCTGAGGGGAACAGAAAAGTGACCTATAAGGAAGTAAAACAGCCTTATCCTGATCATCCAGATAGGTTCACGGATTATAACCAGATCCTTAGTAGGGAAAGTCTGACTGGACGCAGTTACTGGGAGGTGGAGTGGAGAGGGGATGGAGTTTATGTAGCAGTTTCATATAGGAACATCAGCAGGACAGGGAAACTGGCTGACAGTAAATTTGGACTCAATGAAAACTCTTGGTTATTATTCTGTTGCAAAAGGTTCTTCAAGTTTTTTCACAACAGCAATGAAAAACGATTTTTTATTCCAGTTTCCTCCAGAGTGGGAGTGTATCTGGATCACAGAGCAGGTATTCTGTCTTTCTACAGCATCTCTGAAACCATGACTCTCCTCCACAGAGTCCAGACCAGATTCCCTCAGCCTCTATATGCTGGAACAGGGTTTGGTGTGCATGATACCGCCAAGCCTTATGGTGGAAGCTCTGCTGAGTTTCTTAAACTGAAATAGTCAGAGTTGATATAAGGTCAAGTTGGTTAAAAGGTGTATTTTTTCTAGTTTCTTTAGTCTCGTTGATGTGTAATTTCTTCACTGTAGAGGACAGCTGTCTTGCTAGAACTGCTTTCTTATGTGATTTTGTTGATGTTGTAGTTTGTTTGGGTGGAAGCAACTTCCAGCTTCAGTTCAGCCATTCAGACTGTGCTGAGGAGGATAAAAAAAAAACAGAACTGTTGACATTTACATGTATTGCTTTGTCAAACCAAATGTTCAAATATATGTACGATTGAGCTGATTATCATAATTGTCATTAATAGGTACATTAGTCATTGTTTAATAAAACAAAGATCTGATTTTGGATTAAACTGATTATAAGAAAAAATAAAAATATATTGTGTATTGATATAAGGTTCTTTGAGTTATTTGATTTGAGTTACTGCCCACTGCCCAATCTCTGACACTCTGTAGTGGGAGAAACACAGGTAAGTGACCACGATCATCTGACAGAAGATGATTATCTGAGTTGGTCACTTACCTGGTTTAACAGTCCAGTCCAAGAGTGTCCCCAGTGCTGCAGTCTCAGACATCATGCAGGAAAGCCAATCCTGGTCAGGGATCCAGAACAGACCGAAAAGGATCCAGATCAGGCTGGAACAGACAGGTGGCAGGATCCAGGCTTCCAGGCATCATAGAGCTCCCAGACGGGTTCAGAGTCTGACTGGGACCGGAAGTATGACCAGGTGGTCACGCACAGGACGCGCAGACATGATCAGGTGCAGACAGGCAGGCTCAGTGGCAGAGGGTAGCCGAGACAGGACGTGGAACCAGAACTTCATGCAGGAACTTTAAACTGGTCTTCTCCTTGGAGCCAAGGTTACTAAGATAAAAACTGAACCTCCCCACATATAGAACCAAAAACCCAGAGGACTCCGCGGGGGAGGAACAGTGGACGATCAGGAGATGAGACAAACACAAAAACCTCTTTCCACTGGCCGCAAGGATCCAGGACATGAACCAAGAAATCAAAATAACAGACAGGCTAACAGAAAGACAAATAATGATCTGGCCCTGAATGCTCAGGCTGAACTGAATATAACCAAGAGGAAACAGGTGAGAGGAATGAATTATAATTGAGGCAGGGAGGGAAAACGACAGGTGAAAGAAATATCCAATTAAGGAGGAGCAAACAGGCCAGATCATGACACATGATCACCAGTAAGTTCTGGGGGAAGCAGTCTTAGCAGAGAATTCCAAACTTCCTCTCCCCAGAAACCCGGAGGAATTCCCAGGCCAGCTAAGAGAGATAGTAAATCAATCAATCAATCAATCAATCAATCAATCAATCAATCAATCAATCAATCAATCAATCTTTATTGACAACCACAATTTGCATTGTAATCCAGATATCATTTTCAGTACAAACCGTTCAACACATACTTTGGGGGCTGGACAGGGGAACGATTTGACTGAGCCCATCCCTGCCAAATAACGGTGCTGTTACCCCTTGCTCACACTGGCTCCGGTGCAGTTACCGAGCCGACGGAGACCGCAACTCCCACACACCCCCTCTCACACCGCCCTTTTGACTAGGGTGCGGTGCGGCTCTGCGGCTCCGGTAACAGGTCCGGAGATTTAACTCGCGAGAACGTAACTTCACGTGATAACACGGCCCAAATAAGGATATTTGAGAGAGCTTGTTGCGGAGGGCTCCGGCACGCCGCAAGGATAGCTTTCTTGCTGAATTTTCTGCAGCGCCGGAGTGTCTCGGTAACCGCAGCCGGACAGCTCAGCAGCCGGTGAGAGAGGTTTACGTCTTTTTAAGGACTTGGAATCACTGCGGCGCCGCACCCACCGCACCGCAACGGTAAGACCGGAGTCGTTGTGAGCCGGGGGTTAGGCGCATTCTTTTGGCTGCCAGGGGCCTCACCATGAGACGGTGTCCTTAGGGCACATCTCTGTGGAAAGATAGGAGTCAAATTGTGAGGCAGAGGCAAATAACACATTTTATCCTTGACGATGTACAAATTGAGATATCAAAAAACACCTAAGCACTAGAAAATCACATATAAACATTTCAGCAGAGGGTTAACATTGGAGGCTGAGAATCACATGTGAGTCTATCTGGTATTTGAGCATCAGTTGTGTGTGAGTGCGTTCAAATTGTCCATGAAAGCTGTCCAGAGGCCATCGTAGTTTATAAGATGTAAGTTTATCAACTGGTGCTACAGTTCTGAATGTGTCCACAAGTGTCCTCGGGCAGATGAGGGTGGGGGAGCTGGCAGTTCTGGGCCCTTCCACCATAACATCCAGGGGAGTTTTTGATAAGGTGGAGGCCAATATCCAAAATACACTTTTGTTTTTAAAGCAAGCTCATAGAATTTTTCATCAGCCTTGAAGTCTATTTTCGCTTGGCTCCACATGGTGAATCCAATATTCCAAATCTGTTGGGCTTTTCCGCCTTACAGCCAGTGTGCACATCCAAGGTATTATCCCATCTCACCTTTGAGTTAAACCGCAGCCAGCTTGCGTTTCCATCACATCCAGCATACGGCTCAATTCACGGTCCTGCTTGTTCACAGCCTTTGTGAGCGTGTAAACCACTGCTGGCAGCCTGATCAATGCATAAGTTGCTTCTAAAGTCCTCTGTAATTGTAGATACATCAGGTATCCTCCAAATCCAAACATGTATACGTCATCCACGTCCTCGACTGACAACATCATAAAATACACAGTCTTCCATACCTTCCAGGGGTGCAGGGTGTGTCCTACGAAGTATGTCCCGGCAAGACAGGACGGGTCTACTTTACCATCTCTTCTAGTTGAGAAATTTTGATCAATTGCAGAGAGAGACTTGCTGACCAGGTCCATTGTTTGATTATGGTAATATGAAGAGAGGGCTCAGAAAAGACAAGACACAGCAAAGCAAAGACAGAGCAGGGAGGTACAGGAGCAGCCGGAAAATGCAACCGCCTCTGCCGAGAGCAGAACAGAAACCTTACTTCCAGCCAATTTAGGGCTGTTCCTTTGGCCTCCTCCGGTTGGGATGTACCTAGAACATTTCCAAAGGAAGGGGTTATGGGGTGCACCCAAGAGCTCTCTGAGACACCTCATCTGATTCCTCTCGATGTTGAGGAGAAGCGGCTCTACTCCGACGCTCTTCCGAATGTCCGAGCTCCTTAATCTAAATACGGGGATGCCTGGACATCATGTAAAGGAAGCTAATTTCAGCTGCTTGTATCCAGGGTCTTGGTTTTTAAGAAAATGACATTTCACATTTCAAGACCATAGGTGGAGGTAGGATAGTAGACCAGCTGGTAAATCAAGAGTTTCGTCTTTGGGCTAGTGGTTGAATTATAAAGCAGCTGCACTGATCTATCCATCGATCTCCTGCTCCTTTATGCCACCATTCTGGAACGTCAGGGTGGGCTTAATATCTCCCATTAATATATGTCTATCATTGTCCAGGATTTAGATGTGGTATACCTATTGTTTTTAGAACCTTTGGTTTTAGAAGGAAAACTCAAGTAGGAAGTTGTAAAAGACAGGAGGCATATCAGTGCTCTGGCAACAAAAGTTTCAATTAAAATTCCCAGAGTTTTTCATTTAAGTTTGATGTATAGGGGGAGTGGCGGCCTAGTGGTTAGGGCATAAGGCTTTCACTCCTGAGGTTGTGAGTACAATCCCCCACTTTCATAGACTGCCACTCTGGGTCCCTGAGCAATACAGAGAAGTAAATTTGCTCTGTATTAAAAAACAGTATAAACAAGATTTCTATTTTATAAAAAAAAAATATATAGAATATTAGGAATAAAGCATATCTATCTTATTTTATAATTTTTGCGTATTTCTTTTTGTATTGTCCCTCCAGTTTTCTGAGGCTCTCCTACCCTGTGGCCCCAGTTTGGAACGAAAAGAAAAAAAATCCTACTCTATAGTTTACCCATCTGCATGCCTTCCGTGTACATGCTCATTACGGGAAAACATAACTTCAACCAGTTCATCTGGTTAAAGATAACATGAGGCCCATTTTCGGCATGCAGTTTGTCTTGTATTTTTCTTTCCTCGTGCAACACAGAAAAGTGTCGAAGAGCTTTTTGCTTTTTCATCAGATTGTACCTCAATAACTTACACAAAAATGTGATTTAAAAAGAGAATAACTGTTTGACCAAAAGATGACGGATAAAGCTGGCTACAGAGTCTGCTTTTAAATTGAAACTTGTTTTTTCCCATGGAATTAAACATGGAGTGAGAACCACTCCCATCTTTAAAGCAGCCTGACAGCTTCCTGATGCTTCCATTCATAGATCAGCCTTAGTCAAAACCTTTGCATTGTTGTTAAAGGCGCCAACAACTCAACTTGCTGCAGGTCAGTGACTAGTTGACAAACAAAAGAAGCTTGGATTTTGGTGCGATTTGTGTATTTGCTGAAAAGTACAGAAAGGAGCTACAGGCTTTTTTGTTTGTTTTTTCAGGGATTAAAATGACCCAGCCAGGAAGTCAGACTGACGCAGCTAGATTCTCCTGCTCCATCTGTTTGGATTTACTGAATGATCCAGTAACTATTCCCTGTGGACACAGTTACTGTATGACCTGTATTAAAGACTTCTGGAAAACAGAAGATCAGAGGAGGATCTACAGCTGCCCTCAGTGTAGGGAGAATTTTATACGTAGACCTATCTTAAAGAAAAACATTGTATTAACAGAATTAGTAGATGATCTGAAGAAGACTGGACAAAAAGCTGCTGCAGCTGATCACTGCTATGCTGGACCTGAAGATGTGGCCTGTGATATCTGCACTGAGAAGAAGATGAAAGCTGTCAAGTCCTGTCTGGTGTGCTTAGTTTCTTATTGCCAGAATCACCTCCAGCCTCACTATGATGTATCTGGATTGAAAAAGCATGAGCTGGTTGACCCCTCTAAGAAGCTTGAGGAGATCATCTGTTCTCGTCATGATGAGGTGATGAAGATCTTCTGTCGTACTGATCAGCAGTGTATCTGTTATCTCTGCACCATGGATCAACATAAAGGTCATGAAACAGTCCCAGCTGCAGCAGAAAGGACTGAGAAGCAAAAGGAGCTTCAGGAGAGACGACAACAAATCCAGCAGAGAATCCAGGACCAGGAGAAAGAATTGAAGCTGCTTCAACAGGAAGTGAAAACCATATTTGTCTCTGGCTATAAAGCAGTGGACGACAGTGAGAAGGTCTTCACTGATCTGATCCGTCTCATCCAGAGAAGAAGCTTTGATGTGAAGCAGCAGATCAGATCCCAGCAGAAAACCAAAGTCAGTCAAGTCAAAGAGCTTCAGAAGAAGCTTGAGCAGGAGATCACTGAGCTAAAGAGGAAAGATGCTGAGCTGGAGAAGCTCCTAAAAACAGAGGATCACACCCAGTTTCTCCAGAACTATCCCTCACTGTCAGCACTCAGTGAGTCTACACACTCATCCAGCATTAATAATCGTCCTCTAAGATACTTTGAGGATGTGACAGCAGCTGTGTCAGAGCTCAGAGAGAAACTACAGGACATCATGAGAGACACATGGACAAACATCTCACAAACAGTGGTGAAAGTGGAAGAACCAGAAGCAAAGACCAGAGCTGGATTCTTAAAATATTCACAGGCGATCTCTCTAGATCCAAACACAGCAAACAGATTTATGTTATTAACTGAGGGGGAGAGAAAATTGATAGTGATGGAACAACAACAGTCTTATTCTCGTCATCCTGATACATTTACCGGTTCCTTTCAGGTCCTGAGCAAAGAAAGTCTGACCGGACGCTGTTACTGGGAGGTGGAATGGACAGGAGGGGGAGTTAATGTGGCAGTTTCATACAAGAATATCAGTAGAGCAGGACTGTCAGATGATTGTTTATTTGGATTCAGTGATAAATCTTGGTCATTGTTTTATGACGGAGACAGTTACATATTTTGGCACAAAAACAGAGAAACCTCAGTATCAGGTCCAGTTTCCTCCAGAATAGGAGTGTTTCTGGATCACAGAGCAGGTATTCTGTCTTTCTACAGCGTCTCTGGAACAATGACTCTCCTCCATAGAGTCCGGACCACATTCACTCAGCCTCTATATGCTGGGATTGGGGTTTATGAAGTTGGAGACCATGCTGAATTTGTAAAACTGAATTAGTCACAATTGATTTGAGGTCAAGTTAGTTAAAGCTACAGTGTGTAATTTTCAGCGACATCTAATGTTCAGACTGCAGACCGCAGCAACATGAACATCTCCCCCCACCGCTTCTCCCCCCAACAGTACGGCGAGCGTTACGGGACAAAATGTCTTCCACGACGTCCGCATCACCTACCTTTTCAAGTGATAAGGTTTGTTTACATAGATAATTTTAATACTGCAATCTATTGTTCAGTACCGTCTCAGTTCATCTCTCTCAACTTGCCATAGTTACTTTCGAGCGTAATGGGCGATCTCGCAATCGCTAGTTTGTTGGCTCTGCGCTGCCGTAGCGCAAAGATGTCTGCCTCCATGGCTGCGAGACCCGCTCCTATGTAATTATAAATAACGAATTCTAAGGCAACGCAAATATTAAGGTTAAGAGGCTGAGCTCGTAGATGATGATAAAATAACATAGTTATGTATAATATATTACATTTCTGACTGTATATCCCTGTAATTATTACACACTGTAGCTTTAAAATGTGTTTTCTAATTCCAGTTTAATTATTCTCTAATATTAGTTGTGTGATTTCTTCACTGCTCAAGGTCAGCTCTATTTATGGAGCTACTTTGTCATCTTGTTTGGGTGTTTTGTTATGTTCATCCAATTTTTTATACATGTGTAACAGTTTTTAATATGCAGATGATTCCCCTTGTCATACAGTACATTTATTGGGTTCAGGTATAATGGGGAGAAACAGCACCCCCTTCTGGTAGTTGGCAGTGAAAAGTGGAGTGTACACAGGGACCACTTAGCCAGTCTTGAATGAGGAGCACGAGGTAGGTTCACTGATATATTTTATGCATTACTGTTATATTCCTTAGCCATCTGTAAAGTGTAAGTAGATTAATGTAGATATGAATGTATTCAAAGGAAACTTTGTTCTTTATAAGGTGGTTTCTTTGGTGATGAGTCTGAGCCCTGCTGATTTTGTGTTTTGCTTTTAAATACAGGTACATATTTTTATTTCTTTGTAAATTTGTAAAATATTGCTGTTAAGTCTTTGCATGAGGTGCAGATTATTTGGAGACGAGTCTGAGCACTGCTGATTTTGTGTTTTGGTTTTAAATACAAATAAACAACCTTTTTTTTCATTCTTCCTGTCTCCTGACCATCTTTAAACACAATTTAGAGTACGAATGAAGGACAGTTTACATAATTAAAACAGAGTGACAGGGAACTGAAGGTTACACATGCAGTGAACATTAATCAGGATTTACTTAATTAACTTAGTTAATAAAAAAATAACTTAGTTAATAAAAAAATAAAAGTTTTACAGGTTTATTGAGGGGGTAAACAGGAGTTGGATCTGGAACTCATTGGGCTGGTAACCCTGAACTGGAAGTGAGAAGGGAAGTTCAGTGGCAAGTTCAGGTACTGTGGGAATCTTGGAAACTTTTTTTGCAAGGATAGGACTCACGTTTTAGGGGGGTCTTGTTAGTTTTTGAATCCAGACTGTGTGGTATATCCAGAAAATAGTGAACACATTGGAGGGCGGACAGGTTGACAAGCGTTGGACCCGGAGGAGTAATGGAGCGGACTGTCACTCGGATTTCCGATGGGTACTTGAACGGAACATCTGGAGGTTTTCCCCTGCTCAGAGTAAACTCGGTTTTTCCTTTCAAGGGACAGAAGGTCCAGGAATCCAGTAACACAGGAAAGCTGCCGTGGAGCAAAGACAAAAAACTGGTTAGACTCAGAGAAGCAAAGCTAGGTTAGACTCAGCTAAACTCAGCTTGGCTAAAGTACCTAAAACTGGCAAACACTGGCGTTGAGGTAGTGACAGCCCACTGCTCAAATACTCCTCCAGATAATGATCCAATGAGTCGCAGGTGTGCTCCTGGTGGTGGAAAAAGGACAGACACAAACAGGCCACACAAACTGGATTCCTAACAGTTTTGTTGTTTACGTTTGTGTATAGATGAATTGAGAGAAACTCCTACTATGACAATAATTGTCAGGATATCCTTAATCGTTTTGTTGGCCAAAGATCAGAATTTTGATCGAACTTATTGTCTTTCAATTATCTGAGATCGTGTTGGGGAGGTGGCAGGCTCAACAGGGTAGTGGGTCAATAACAGTGTCTGGGGCATTTTTTTGAAGGTTCACACAGACTTCCATGTGCTCAACAGAGGTAGCATGACTGCATTTAGGTACTGAGATGAGATCCTCAGACCCCTTGTAAGACCATATGCTCATACGGTGGGCCGTGGGTTCCTCCTAATGCAAGACAATGCCAGACCTCATGTGGCTGGAGTGTGCTAGCAGTTCCTGCAAGATGAAGGCATTGAAGCTATGGACTGGCCTGCCCATTCCACAGACCTGAATATAATTGAGCCCATCTAGGACATCATGTCTTGATCCATCTACCAACGTCACGTTGCACCACAGACTTTCCAGGAGTTGGAGGATCCTTAAGTCCAGGTCTGGGAGGAGATCCTTCAGGAGACAATCTGCCACCTCATCAGGAGCATGCCCAGGCCTTGTAGGGAGGTCACACGGGCACGTGGATGCCACACAAAATGCTGAGTCTCATTTTGACTTGTTCTATGAACATTAAGTCAAAGCTGGATCAGCATGTAGTGTGTTTTTCCACTTTAATTTTGACATTATTGAAGACCTCTCACACCCCCACCATGGACTCTTCTCCCTGCTGCTCTCTGGGCATGTGCCCTGTATGGCCATTAGCCAGTCTGGCCCTGCCTCCAGGTCTTGTAAATATCTAAAGATTTATCTATTGGACCCATGATAGTTGAGAATAAAGATACTTATCACTTATTTTGAGGTTCAACACACTGTTTTCAATTGATGCATTTTAATTAGAGGCACTTCGAAATGACACTGTATTTGCTATGAACTGACACTGACGAAACTATATTTAAAAACATTGTGATTTTGAAAATCATCAATAAATGATAATTGACTGAAATCAAAAAATTTAAAAAGAAACTACAATTTTTTTGTTTTGCACACTAACACTAACACCAGTTAGTGCTTCAGATCATGGGCTCCCCCTACAGGAGATAAATCATCCAGGGACACTTTGTGAAGATCCCTGGATCCTGCTGTCATAACCCCCCTATCATAACCATATCACTATGACATAATCTGCCATATGTCTGCATACTTACATCGGTATTCATATTGCTGCAATAAAAAAAGTAAAAACTGATCTTTTTATCTGTATTATAAAATCCTGTGCTCCATTATTTGAAGACCCGTCTTCATAGCCCTGCTGTTTATGGTTTAATTTTTATATTGCCAGTTTTTTAAGCTGTTGCTGACTGTTAGACTGCTGAGTAAAGGTCAGAGAAAAGTAGCTTAACTTTTTAACCAAGATGGCTTTGCTCTTAAAACGAGCCAAACCTTCTGTTTCTTTCATTTTTTTAAAGCTACAATGCTCTACAATTACAAGGATTTACTGATAGAAATGTAATATACATATGTTGTTTATTATCGTGTACAGTACAAACTGAAAGTCTCAATCTTTATGTTTGCGTTGGCTTAGAAATAGCTACTTATGATAATTACACAGGCGCAGGTGTCACATTAATGGAGGCAGACATCTTTGCGCTGACCAACTAGTGACTGTACGGATCATCATTACACTGGAATGGGTCTGTGTCGACTTGGACTTCTATGAAATCTATACCCCACACTGTCTGATAAAATACGATTATAAAATCATCTACATAAACAAACCTCATCATTACTTGACAAGACAGGCGATGTGGGCGCTGTGGAAGCCATTTTGTATCATCAGGGCCTCTGTATTGTTGGAGGGGGAGAAGCAGTTGGGGAGCGGTTTATGATGCTGCAGTCTGACCACCAGATTTCGCTGAAACTTACACACTAGCTTTAAGAAAAAGAAATCTTCCTGGGCTTCCAATTAGAATCTTTTATTTTACAAAAACTCCAATTATTTCTTGTAAAGGTCAATGGCCACACTGATCTTAGTTCTGATGTTTTGTTTTAATGAGCTTTCTGGAAACATGTCAGAATAATGAAAAAGTACACTGTTTTTATACATACTAGCAGGCAACTGTAAAAATAAGTTATTTTGGACAGTAAATTTAGGCACGTACTTAACACCAGCATTTTACAGTTTGCTCATAGTTTTTGGTTTTCTAACACAGACTTGATGTTCAGTTGAGTTGTGTTATATTTCGTCTGGGTGGTAGATTTACTGCTGTCAGTTCTTGTCATGTCTGTAATCCCAAACCCAGTAGCAAATCCTTTTGGACATTTTTAACATTTCCCCAAACTAATTCATAAGCTTTTTAATAGTAGAAAAAGTCAGGAAACATTGGCTATATTTACCTCCAGAGATGGTAGAAGAACCGCCATAGCCTGAATGCTAATGGTTTTTTTTTTTTCATCTTTGCACCTCTGCACTAAGAACAAATGAAAGACCTCCTTAAAAAGTTTCAGTTTTTCAGTTTAATTTAGATAGTGGTACAGAGAGTGGGCAGAGAGTGGTACTTCAGAAAAAATGAGTTCCAGGATCACAAAACATAGCTAGCATTTCGAGTGTACCAGAGCATTGAAAGCAATACCAGCAATCTAACTAAGGGCATTTTATGGCAGAAAATCAAATAAACTATGCAGTATGATGAACCCAATAAGGAATGAAACAACAAAAATTTTTATTTGAGTGAGATTTTAGAGGGACGTCTGTAAGCATCTAATCATAGACATCACACCAGGACATAAAGCCGGTTTACCAAAATATAAATACCGGTACTCAATTTTATTTTTATTTAACTTTTATTTTAACCTTTATTTTACCAGGAAGTCCCTTGAGATAAAATCTCTTTTTCGAGGGAGACCTCAATGTGTACAATGTTTAAGCAACATCAGCTTCTTTTAACTATTACATAAAGACTTAAAAAAACATAGTCAACTGAATTGAATTTGTCTGTGTAAAAAGCTTATTTGAATATTCCGGCATATGAAGATAATAAAAAAATAAAATTGAACTTTATTGATCTCATATTGGAGAAATTTTTCCTCTGCATTTAACCCATCCCCTTGGATAGCAGTGGGCTACCATAGTAGTACGCCCAGGGAGCAGTGTGGGGTTAAGAGTGGCAATCTGTGAGAGTGGGGCTCGAACTCAGAACATCAGGATTCCAAGCTCTATGCACTAACCACTAGGCCACCACTCCCCCTATATGAATCAGGTCTATTAATCTCTTAATGTACATTGTGACATGATACATGTTAGCTATTGGTATTGGGTTTATACTGGGTGATCTAGGAGAGGCCAGGAGTAGAGCCGCCTCTTCACTTTGAGAGGAGTCAGCTGGGATGGCTTGAACATGTTTTTACAGATTCCCGCTAGACACCTCCCTCTTGGGTGTGTCTGAAGTACAACATGGTGAGGAGGCTCAGTGCACAGCCCAGATATTCTGGACAGACTATGTCTCTCAAATGGCCATTTATTCCTTTGGGCTTCCTTCAGATGAATTGAAGGAGGTCTGTGGATATGGATGCCTGTTGTGGGAAAAAAAGTTTTCAACTATTTAGTCCAGTTAAATAAGAGATTGATGGATTTACTCAGTCGGCACTTTATTTACTTTGCAAAGTTAGCAGTATCTGCACTCTCTGCTGACACTAACTGCCCGACCCGTTCCGGCATAAGTGGAAGGTGAGTACAAGCACGGATTTATAGTTTTACAACATATCATGAGTAGCTGACTTTATGATGGATTCAACTCAACAGAAATGACCTCTGATCTCCGGAGCACTGATAACAGCAAGAAGAGTCACTCCCATCTACAGTACCAGGAAGTCAAGACGGATAGCTGTTCCAGTAAAGCTTCATGTGACACATTAACTTTCTCTCAACTGACACACAAGTGAAAGAGCATTTCAGAGAGATCAGATGGATTCTGCAAAATTATCTTGTTGTATTTGTTTGGATATCCTGAAGACCCCAGTGACTATTCCCTGTGGACACAGCTATTGTATGAACTGCATTAAAACTTACTGGGATCAAGAGAAACGAAAAGGAGTCTTCAGCTGCCCTCAGTGCAGGGAAACCTTCACACCGAGGCCTGTCCTGGTCAAAAACATTGTGTTAGCAGATTTAGTGGAGGATCTAAAGAAGACTGGACTCCAAGCTTCACCAGCTGATCACTGCTATGCTGGACCTGAGGATGTGGCCTGTGATGTCTGCACTGGGAGGAAGATGAAAGCTGTTAAGTCCTGTCTGGTCTGTATGGCTTCTTATTGTGAGAATCACATCCAGCCTCACTATGCGTCATTTGCTTTTCGAAAGCATGAACTTGTTGATGTTTTTTCAAAGCCCCAGCAGAATATTTACTCCCGTCATGATGAAGTAAGGAGGATTTTATTTAATAAATTTAAAACAGCTGCCCCGGCGGCAGCTGAAAGGACTGAGAAGCAGAAGGAGGTGGAGGCAATGAAAAAAATAATCCACCAGAGAATAGTGGACAGAAAGATGAATGTGAAGGTGCTTCAGAAGAAGATGGATGCCGTCAGTCTATCTGCTGATAAAGCAGTGGAGGACACTAAGGCATCACCCTCCTCTTCCATCAACAAGCCAATTAAAAACAGGCCTTTATCAATGGAAACACCTCCTGACCCTGTTCCAGGTGTCTCTTCAGACATGAAGAAATTGCAGCCAAAAGAGGACATGATCAAAAACTTCAAAACAGACAAACTGGTGCAAGAAATCAAATCCCCTCCATTAAAGACGTGTGGGAAATGTGGTAAGGCTCTGTCCAGCACTCAGCCAGCTCTTCAGGCCTTGGACAAAATCTTCCACTCCAGTTGCTTCAGTTGTGTGAACTGCCAGCGCCCCCTGCAGGGCATGCAGTTCTATGACAAGGAAGGTTTACCACAATGTAAACGTTGCTACACTAAATGTCTGGCTGATTGCTATCGATGTGGAGAGAAAATCACTGGCCGCATTCTGAAGGCTATGGGAAAGTGTTTTCATGTCCATTGTTTCTTTTGTAGCACTTGCTCCTGCACGTTGGACGGAGTCCCCTTTATCACAGGGGAAGACAACAAGCCCTACTGTGTCCAGGATTACCACAGGCATTTCTCTCCTGTGTGTGAGACCTGTAAAGAACCGATTGTTCCAGGTCCAGGCAGTCAGAAAATTATGAAACTGGTAGCATTTGACAAAAACTTCCACATTCAGTGCTACCGAGCTTAGGAGCGTACTCACACTCTTTCACTTTTAGGTGATAAATGTCCAAGCTATCTTTTTAAGGGCAGGATTCTTTGCATCAAGGGCTACAATGGGAACGTCTATTAATGATTGACTGCTCCACAAGTTTGATTAACTTCAATCTGTAGCTGTTTTCTCAAAGCTTTATATAATACATGTGTACAGGTGTGTTTGACTGCAGGTTAAGAGCAGCACACCTTTGATCTTTTACCCTTTTATTTATTCCAGAGCAGGTTCTGTACTTATTTAATGCCTTTTGTGTTTTTTCTTTTTTGTTGTTTTTTTTGTATATCTCCTCTTTTAAAGTCTTTAATTTAATGTTTTTTGTGTTAACTACAGCAGGTTTTAGATACCAGATAAATGTCTAAATACCAATTACAGTTTTTCTTATATGTGATGTAATATTACATGCTACCATAAAAATGTGTGTTTTTATAGCCATACATCGAGAAATATCATAGTCATCAAAAATAAAGGCATATAAAACACCTCTGACTGTCAGTATTTCAATACTTGAACTAAGTTTTGGAACTAAGTCAACTATTCAAAATATTCAATTTTATATATATCTATGAGAGAGGGAGAGTAGAAAAAGAGAGTATCATATGTCGCCATGTCTTAAGGTTAATATACTTCTGAGGCTGCTATTGCTAATAATGACAGCTTTGAGACACCTCCTGTTCAAATAAAGTAGTTGCTTGCATTGCTTAGAGGGGACTTTGAGGTCAACATTTCATAAAAACAGTCTTTAAATCTTTAAATCCATGCACCTTTTCTTTGAACCTTGATTTTTTCTTTTCATAGTGTGGAGTTAAAAGTCTAATATTATACGATATTTGAAAATTGAAAATATTAACACTGATCCCACCAGAGAATGTTTTTAACCTTTGAGCAGGAGAATTTCTCTCAGATTAGATACCTAGAAAACATGAACCGATAACCTCGTCATTCTGCCCTCTTCTTTTTTTTCCCTGTGTCGTGTTCAGCATTATGGCAACAGAATTGTAAACTGCAGTGTGCCGTGCCCTGCCCAACACTTTTGCTTTGCCAAGGGAGGCTGGTCAGGATGAAACACCTTCCTTGATCATCAAATACATCCTTCATTATTTATTTAAGAGTTATTTTTATTACAGAAGTTAGATGAGTAATGCCAAACCTGACAGGGGGACAGGGGAAGGGAAAGAAAAAAGAAAGAGAGGAAAGAAAAAAAACATATTAGCTGATGTATCTGTAGAAGACATAAACATTTCCTGTGGTCACTGTAGGCAAACATTCTGCCCTCTTGTAAACGAGCTGTTGTAGCTTTTCATGCCCTCGCCCTCCAGAAGGCCACGCTCCCACACCCTGCAACCAGGACAACCAATCAGATTTCTTAATGATGGTGGCTGAGCAGCTTATACTGAAAGTGAAAAAAACACACAAGTTAAGTTAAAGCAATATTGAGTTGATAGCGAGTTGATAACCAGCTTCGTAGTACTGCTGAGCCTGATTGGAATTGTTGTGGATGGGTTGAAATGGATAATCTGAGACTAAACCCGGGCAGGTTGAGCTCCCTTCGTGGTGCAGGCCTCAGCTCTGTCTTTCTCTGTTGTTGCAACATTGGCCTTAACTCAAACTACATTTACTACTGATGGTGGTCAGAGGGCGTGGTGGTGCCTCTGTACACCAGCCTCACTTCTGTCATTGAGCCCCAGGACAGCTGTGATGACACAGATATAGAAAAGAATGCATACTGGATTGTAGAAAATAAATGAGAAGAAAATAACATCAGTCAACAAAAACTATGACTATCCGGGAACCTCTGTCCTGCCCCAACCCAGGTAAATGTGCACCTTTCAAAGCTGCATGCCTGAAGGCAGGGTACTCCATTACCCCATTTAAACGACCCTTGATCTCCATGCAAGGGCAGAAGAAATGCATACACATTCTTGTTCTGCTCTAAGAACCATGTGTCGACTTCCATTGATTTTCACTAATTTTCAACCCTTTTTATGCCCTAACCCTGACATATCTGTGAAGATTCTCAGTCATCCAGAGTTAGATGCCAAGATTGAAAAAGTTCAGTCTAGGCAAAAGGACTTGAAGTTTTCTAGAAGACATGTCCCCCTTATCCAAGAAGATTCTAACTAGTGGTCGGGAGAACTGAGATCAGTATGCTGTGGGTGTAACAAAGAATTACATCCTTAGAGCTAAGACCACTTAGACCTAAGTAAGTCTAAGAATGGCAAAATAAGAAAAAAAGCTTAACTAAAAGGAAAGCAAACAGTACAAGAATATGAGTCACAGAATACGTAAATAAGACTGTTGCCAACAATAAATTAAAATTATCAGTTAAACGCAGAAAGATAAGGTAAATATATCAATTACAACAAGAGGGCATCAGTTTAAGCCATTAGGCTTTGTAATGAAACTCTACCCTGCTGGTGTTAAGACAAAGCCTTTATAATAAGTATTCCAGCCACTTAAACCAAACATGTGTCACAAAAACAGAAATATTTCTCAGCTTCTTTGATAAATGTAGTTCATGACAGTTTATAAAATTAAATTGTTGCATGTAATAAAATGTTGTGAATCAAAAATCCCCAACCACTTCCAAAAACCCCCAGGAACTACGGCCTGCCAACAAACACAAAAACCAAAACAGAAACCTAAACTTTGGAGATCCCCTGCTACTCTCAACAAGCTCCACCCTATGAAATACCGAGTTTATCTCTGCTGTTTCCTGCTTCCTCCTGTTTCATGTCTGAAAGCTGTTGGATTGATGTGATAACTGAGTCGATTACAGAAATTCCTGCAGATTAGTAAGTAAACTGGCGTTTTTGTCGGACACATCTAGAGGAGGTAAAGACGACTGGAGGTAATTGTTGAGAAATTGAAGAGAAATTCAGATGGATTCACAAAAATACTCCTGTTGCATCTGTTTGGATTTACTGAATGATCCGGTGACTATTCCCTGTGGCCACAGCTACTGTATGAACTGTATTAAACAAAACTGGAACAATCAGAGGAGAATCTACAGCTGCCCTCAGTGCAGGAAGGAGTTCATACCGAGGCCTGGACTGGTGAAAAACATCTTGTTAGCTGAATTGGTGGATGACCTGAAGAAGACTGGACTCCTAGCTGCTGAAGCTGATCACTGCTATGCTGGACCTGAAGATGTGACCTGTGATGTCTGCACTGGGAGGAAAAGGAAAGCTTTTAAGTCCTGTTTATTCTGCCCTGCGTCCTACTGTGAGGATCACCTCCAACCTCACTATGATGCTCCGTCATTGAAGAAGCACAAACTAGTGGACCCGTCCAAAACTCTCCAGGAGAACATCTGCTCTCGTCATGATGAGGTGATGAAGATCTTCTGTCGTACTGATCAGCAATGTATCTGTTATCTCTGCTTAATGGATGAACATAAAGGCCATGAAACAGTCCCAGCTGCAGCAGAAAGGACTGAGAAGCAGAAGGAGCTCCAGGAGAGACGACAACAAATCCAGCAGAGAATCCAGGACCAGGAGAAAGATGTGAAGCTGCTTCAACAGGAGGTGGAGGCCATCAATGGCTCTGCTGATAAAACAGTGGATGACAGTGAGAAGATCTTCACTGATCTGATCCGTCTCATCCTGAAAAGAAGCTCCGATGTGAACCAGCAGATCAGATCCCAGCAGGAAACTGAAGTAAGTCGAGTCAAAGAGCTTCAGAAGAAGCTGGAGCAGGAGATCACTGAGCTGAAGAGGAAAGATGCTGAGCTGGAGAAGCTCTCAATCACAGAGGGTCACACCCAGTTTCTCCAGAACTACCCCTCACTGTCAGCACTCAGTGAGTCTACAGACGCATCCAGCATCAATATTCGTCCTCTGAGATACTTTGAGGATGTGACAGCAGCTGTGTCAGGGATTTGGGACATACTGCAGGACATTTTGAGAGACACATTGACAAACATCTCACTATCACTTACTAAGGTAAAGGTTTTAGACTCTGAAACAGAACCAAAGACCCGAGCTGAGTTCCTCAGATATTCAAATGAAATTACGCTGAATCCAAACACAGCAAACAGAAAATTGTTATTATCGGAGGGAAACAGAAAAGTGGCCCTAATAGAACAGCAACAGTCTTATCCTGATCATCCAGACAGATTCACTCAAAGATGCCAGGTTCTGAGTAGAGAATGTCTGACTGGACGCTGTTACTGGGAGGTGGAATGGAGTGGGGGAAGAGTCGATGTTGCAGTTTCATACAAAAACATCCGTAGGGAAGGATGGTCAGATGAATGTTTATTTGGATTAAATGAAAATTCTTGGTCATTATATTGCTATGCAACAAGTTACATATTTTATCACAGAATTCAAACTTCAATATCCGGTCCAGTTTCCTCCAGACTGGGAGTGTACCTGGATCACAGAGCAGGTATTCTGTCTTTCTACAGCGTCTCCTCCTGCCTTTCTACAATGACTCTTCTCCATAGAGTCCAGACCACATTTAGTCAGCCTGTTTATGCTGGGATTGGGCTTTATGACAATGGATCATTTGCCAAGTGTGTTAAACTAAAATAGTCACAATTAAAATGAGGTTCAGTTGGTCAAAATTTGTATTTTACTTCCAGTTTCTTTAGTATCGATCATTCTTGCTAAGATCACTGTTGTTTGTGTTACAAATAATTTTTTTTGTGTTAGAAAAGGTAATGGTAAATTATCTCCAAAGGTAGCTCTGTCTAAGAAAGGAGCAGTAAGGCAGATAAGATCTGAACTGCTTTACATGGTAAATGGCATGTACTTATATAGCGCCTTTATTCAAGTCAGGAGACTTGACCAAAGCGCTTTACACTACATTCATTCACCCATTCACGCACACACTCACACACTGATGGTGGCAAGCTACATTGTAGCCACAGCTGCCCTGGGGCTAACTCACAGAAGCGGGGCTGCCGTACACTGGCGCCACCGGGCCCTCTGACCACCATCAGTGTCAAATGTCAAAAGAGATGAAAGAGAGGGCATAAACTAAGCTACCATAAAAGATTTGCCCATAGCAAAGAGAGAAGAACGACTAAACAAACAGGCCCAACTCTATTATCTATGATGCAGGTTGTTAATAGCAGAATTATGAACAGAGAGAGAACATTACGTTAGAAGTTGAATCAACAAATAATGTGAATTTGGAGACAAAGAGTTAAATGTAGCAGCGTAAGAGAAGATGGCCTCTATGTCCTCCAGCAGTCCAAGCCTATAGCAGCACACCTATAGAGATAGCTCAGGATAACCATAAGCTGTTTAAAAAGATTTAAACCTAGTATAATCTGAATTGACCTGCATGAGTCTTCAAATTTCTGCACTGGTATGCCCCCAGTCTGGTTCACAGGCTTTAACAGTAATGAATCCAATTGCTTATGCAGATTTAGACACTAAATCAGACTTTGAGGTCTAAAAATCACCTTCGAGAAACATTAGCCTCTAATGCTCCTTCTTTGCCACTGCTGGCCTCCTGATACGGATCTTTTATGTTGTTTTTTTTCCTTTCTTTCTTTCAAAATGCTCTGGTTATTTTGATGTTTTCAGTACGTTTTTACGGACTTGTTGTGGCATCTGGTATCCACCCTTTTTCATGATCCAAATCCATGCTGTATTTCTGATAACTGCACCCACCTGTGTCTATGTTGTTTCCTCTAATATTTGTTTATTGTTTGCTCCTTGATTGCCAAGTTCCCGTTTTTCTTTGTCACTGGTTCCCTCTGTGTACTATCAGTGACTGATGACAGTGGTGGGTTGTATAGTGGAGTCAGTTCAGCTCTGCTAGCAATAACACATTTTAGCCATTGTAAATGGCATAAATCTATGCAGATGGAGTTATTTTATTACCTAAATGTGATTATAATACAGTACTTAATAAAAACCTGATTAGAGCCTCATACCCTGTTTGTTTAGGTTTGCCCTGTAATCTGTAATGTACTGGGAATTTAATCCAGCCCATTGGTATTTGCAACAGATTGGGAATGTGAAAGGTTGTGACACTAGTTAACTAGTTTATCCGGAGGGATTTTTGGTTATTTACAGAACCTGAGACAATGGAGTCTAAGCTTTCCAATGTAAAACTTGTGGGAAAAAAAATTATATATATATATATTGAAGAAGATGTGATCATGGAATGTTCAGCTTGTACAACAATGAAGGATTTTTGTATGCACTTTTTTTTGTGTTCTTATTTTGTATTAATCAGTTAAAAACAAATATGTTTGTTTTAAGTATTGCAGATTTAAAGAAATTTGTGAAGAAAATGTTGTTGCATGCACTTTAGCTATATAGGGTGCAGTTCTGTGATGTGCCCATGAAGACGAATTTGCGCATGAATTTGCCTTGAAAAAGAATAATAAATTATGGCTGAGGGAGCAACACAGTAGTTTCACTGTGCTGCCATGAAAGTGATGCCACATGCGTAAAACAAGCTCTGTTTCAGTCATTCCACTAAAGAGATTAAAATGAAAATGAAGAAGAAACAGAAGTTAGAGATTATTCTCTACAATCACCCTGGAAGCCAGCTGGGTGCTAACAAAAGCTGTTCAATTAAATACTTTTGTATACCTTGCTTCATTACCGTCCCAATCAATGCTTGACAATAAACTGCTCTATTATTTTATGTGAAGGTAATTTTACACAAACAGTAACACACACTTACACAAACAAATTTGTCTGTTCTTGTGGGAACTCCTTATTGACTTCCATTCACTAACCGTGACCCTTATCCTAAATCTAACTATTACAGGTTCATACCTAACCCTAACTGCAAACTCGATTCACACCTACGTCCTAAACCTAACCCTTAAACGGGGAGTCGGCAACCAGCGTCCCCTTGCGGCTCCCTGGAGCTTTTTCATATATTTATGAAAATAAATTTTTTTTTTCATGGTGTGCAGGAGGTCAAACAAAAATGAATTATGTTTTCAAATGCTGTAAACATTTGTATAATAAATAAATTTAAACAATAATTTGCATCATTGCCACAGAGATCAGTGGTCATAACTTGGAACCAGCGTGGCGCAGTGCCAGGCAAACAAAGCAGCAGGTGTGTCTCTGACCATGGCTCCCAAAGGGAAAAAAAGGAAGATAGCTGGTGGGAAAAGAGGATTCAAAGAACGGAGCGAATCATTTGCTTTCATTATCAATGCAGAAGAATTCCCTGCATGTTTGCATTGTAATGAGAGGTTGTCAAAAAATAAAAAGAAAATTTGGAAAGGCATTTCCAGTGAAGGCTAAATATGCAGTCGACCACCAAGCTGGGACTGAGAGAAAAAGTGCGATTGCAGAACTTCTGGATAAATTAGAGCAAAGGAAAGATAGATTTAAGAAGTGGATTGCCTCCCCAAACTCCACTACTGCTGCTAGTTTTGTTGCAAGGATGGAAAACCTTCAATAGATCAAACAGGTAGCGATTACTCTGTCATAGAAGCAGAACAGAAAGACCCAGTATTCAAGAAAAGGCAGACAGTGGGATAACTCAAAGCATTTATTAAAATACAGATCGGGCTGGATCAGCAGTATCAGTACAAGGGGGAGGCACCGCCCATCACTGGAAACTTGGGTTCAAAAAAATGACAGGTTAGTGACCATGATAATCTAATGGAGAAAAAGTATCCATATGACTCACCTGGTTTAACAGTTTAGACCGTCGCCATAGAACGAGGTATGATCCAGCAGGTGGGCTGCCAAGGAGATGCGGCGGGTACCGCTCAGAGTGTCTCAGATGCTGAAGCCCCAAAGAACAAGTAGGAGTCAGAGCCAGGTCAGGAAAAAAAAAAATAAATCAGAATAGGCTCACTCTCCGGAGCCCAGACAGGGATAGCGATGAGAAAAGGAACAGGCTGGTTCAGGGTTCAGGGAACACTCAGTGGATAAGAGGCAGATCAGGTTCAGGATATCAGAAAAACTATAGAATTTTAAAAACCTTCTCTCCATTGGCTCTCGAGAACGAGCACTAGAACAAGAGCATCAGCATCTGTCCATGATGGCTGGGAGTAAGCCATATAAATAGAAGCAGCAGCAGGTGGATTATATGAGCAGTAATGAACAACCAGGCAGAGTTAGACAGGTGAATCGAGTGAGCAATTAAGCCAGCCAACAGTGCCAACATCATGACAGCGAGAGGGGATGTAATTCTAGGCAGGCATGCACTTCTCATTCAACTTGCTTGAGATCAAAAGTGGACGAAAGAGTGTTATTATTTCTTTTCCATTTTTGTTTTTGTGCGGATACCAGATCACAGGACAGGTCAAAACCTAAATGATAAGAAATGAATCAATGATTTCAGAATAGGTCATACTGGTTTGAATAATTCTCTTAAACTGACAATGTAACAGGTGTTTGTGAAGGTTGTAACCTCCCTGAAAATGTAAAATGTGCCTATGGAATGTCCTGCCTATGAAAATGAAAGGAAAAAGCTTAGAGAAGAAATGCATAAAATGGAAATTTGATATACATTTGAAGATATTTCTTGAGTGAGTAAAACAAAAACTCATGTTTTTTTGTTTTTGGAAAGTACAATTTTATTAAAGAGAATTGTTGTTCTTTTATTGTTGTAAATCGCCTGTCCGCACTCCAGTCCTGTTGGTGGTGGTAATGCACCTCATAAGTTGGTCTGCCAACCTCCATAAGACTCTGTAAGAAAGAGGAGAAGAAGACCATGGCACATACAGACACATACAAGAACATTACTTTTTTCATAACTGCATAAAACTATTGTAACTTTCTACCCCAACCTTTCTCTTCTATAAGTGCTTTAATGGGAAGCAGAAAGATGGATCCTTGAAAAAATGGGCAGAGCAAAAACACATCCAGGCGCCTTCCCTTCATGCATTCTTACATTGGGAACAGCTCATCTTTCACAAGCACAGACAAGTAAACAAGCTGAAAAGAGATGGGAATGTGATGCGATGGAAATTTAGATAATGGAATCACATTTCTCAATTAAGTCGCTGTTTATGGTTCCTGTTTTAGTTGTCTGGGCCAAATATATTCATACACAACTACACATACTTGTGTATTTTTAAATTTCTCTTTAAAGTTTTTTTGAATGGGAATGAATTGAATAAAACATTAAGTGTTATTAGATGATGTTTACACACTTTTTAGTATCAAAAGAGAGTTAGGACACCAATCCTACCGGTTATTTGAAGGTGAGAAACAGGAAAACAACCTAAATGTCCGTATTCCCTAAGAGTTTCTGGTGAAAAAGAACTATAAATTTTGGTCCAAAGGGTCATTTTTTTTTGTGAGTAAGAATGTGGGATGAGAAAGTGTCCTCATTGTTTCTCTTATGTGTTGATTTATCATATTGTGACTGGTATTAATTTTAAATAAAGTGATGAAATTTTGTAATTTTTGTCACACAAAAATGTAAGTGTTTGTATAAGCTTCTGTTTCTTTCTCTGATAAACCAATTTCCGACATCTTTTTTTTTTATGTTATGGTTATATATTATGTTCCTCTTTGTAAAATTAGGCAATTCTATGCTAAAAATAAAGCTAAAAAACATTCACATTTACTAGAAACATCACTGTTGTGCAAAATCTCAAGGTCCCACAAACATCACAAACCAATGCAAGACCAGTTTGCAAAGTTTACAAATGAATGTGCTACTATTTTTTTTATTGAAAGAAGTATGTTGTTTTACTTTGAATCATAATTTTCTATGTTTACTCAATCTTCTTACCTTTATAAATTTATTGGCAAAATGTATTTTAGAGGGAAAACAAAAAGCTGAAAATGTTAAATAGTCAGACAAAGACACCAGGAGTTACATTCACTTTTTCCTGCTGACATTTTAGCACTAACTCCTCCCACTTTCTGTCAAAGATTGCAGCTCTGATTCAAAGATGCAAGTATTTGATAGGAGAAAGCTGAAACATGAGACATTCAGTAATGCTGAACGTCAGCATGGCACAGCAAGGAAATAATGTGGAGTCTGAAAAATGTTCTTGTTCAATTTGTCTGGATTTACTAAAGGATCCGGTGACTATTCCATGTGGACACAACTACTGTATGGACTGTATTAAAGACCACTGGGACAGAGAAAATCAGAGGAGGATCTACAGCTGCCCTCAGTGCAGGAAGGAGTTCATACCGAGGCCTGGACTGGGGAAAAACATCATATTAGCAGAATTAGTGGAGGATCTAAAGAGGACTGGACTCCAGGCTGCTGCAGCTGATCACTGCTATGCTGGACCTGAAGATGTGGCCTGTGATATCTGCACTGGGAGGAAGAGGAAAGCTGTGAAGTCCTGTCTGGTTTGTATGGCTTCATACTGTGAGAATCACCTCCAACCTCACTATTATGCTCCTACTGTTAACAAACATAAAATTATTGCAGCTTCTGCTAAGCTACAGAAGAACATTTGCTGTCGTCACGATGAGGTGATGAAGATCTTCTGTCGTACTGATCAGCAGTGTATCTGTTATCTCTGCACCATGGATGAACATAAAGGCCATGAAACAGTCCCAGCTGCAGCAGAAAGGACTGAGAAGCAGAAGGAGCTCCAGGAGAGACGACAACAAATCCAGCAGAGAATCCAGGACCAGGAGAAAGATGTGAAGCTGCTTCAACAGGAGGTGGAGGCCATCAATGGCTCTGCTGAAAAAGCAGTGAACGACAGTGAGAAGATCTACAATGAGCTGATCCATCCGATCCAGAAAAGAAGCTCTGATGTGAAGCAGCAGATCAGATCCCAGCAGGAAACTGAAGTGAGTCGAGTCAAAGAGCTTCAGAAGAAGCCGGAGCAGGAGATCACTGAGCTGAAGAGGAAAGATGCTGAGCTGGAGAAGCTCTCAATCACAAAGGATCACACCCAGTTTCTCCAGAACTACCCCTCACTGTCAGCACTCAGTGAGTCTACACACTCATCCAGGATCAATATTCGTCCTCTGAGATACTTTGAGGATGTGACAGCAGCTGTGTCAGAGCTCAGAGAGAAACTAGAGGACATCCTGAGAGACACAGGGACAAACATCTCAGTGGCAGTCCCTAATATGGAGGGTTTACTGTCAGAACCAGATACTGAACCAAAGATCAGAGCTGAATTCTTGAAATATTCACAAGAAATCACCCTGAATCCAAACACAGCAAATATATTTCTATCATTATCTGAGGGGAACAGAAAAGTAACATATATGAAACAGCAGTCTTATCTTGATCATCCAGAAAGATTTACTGATGAGTACCAGGTCCTTAGTAGAGAGAGTCTGACTGGACGTTGTTACTGGGAGGTGGAGTGTGGAGGAAAAGGAGTTTACATAGCAGTTTCATACAAAAACATTATTAGAGCAGGCGAATCAAATGAATGTGCCTTTGGACTCAACAGTAATTCTTGGACAATACGAAATGACACAAGCCGTTACCTATTTTACCACAACAACATTCCAGTAATAGGTCCAGTTTCCTTCAGAATAGGAGTGTATCTGGATCACAGAGCAGGTATTCTGTCTTTCTACAGAGTTTCTGAAACCATGACTCTCCTCCATAGAGTCCAGACCACATTCACTCAGCCTCTATATGCTGGGGTTAGACTAAATTATGAAGGGTCCTCTGCTGAATTCCTAAAACCGAAATAGTGAAAATTCATCTTTGATCCAGTTGTTGAAAAAGTATTCTTTAATTCAAGCACTTTAGTCTCCATTGTTGTTGCCATTTCTTTACTTCTTAGGGTAACAAAGTTTTTTATGGTTCCAGTTTCAAACAAAAACTGTCAAACATATTAAAACACATCTTGCACCTGTACTATTTAGTGAAATTATATTTTTTCGTTGTGTTTTATGCTTTGTTTCTTTATAAATTGATGGAAATAATCAAACTTTACTCTTACTATAAATAATGTTTATGTACATGTAATACCTTGTTTGCACCTTGTACCTTTTGCTTTTTTACTTCTTGGCATGGACATCCTTATAAAAAAGATTCCAAATGTCAATAAATTTATTCCCACAAAATCAAGGTTAAATTTAAAAAAAATGGGCACTTCCCAGCCCTTCCGCCATAATATTGAATCTCATCATCAGACCACAGGTCCCATCAATCCTGCTCTCTAACGTCCGCTCACTGGACAACAGAATGGATCATCTCCAACTCAAACTCTATTCAAAAAATATTAGCAACTGCTGGGCCATCATCCTGACTGAAGTCATTCATCCATTCCGGACAATGCCGTTAGCCTGGAGGGGATCATATTATACCATACCATATTATATTATACCGACAGAAAAAGAAAACTCAGCTGTAAGACTAGAGGGGTGGGGGGGCTGTGTGTTTACATAAACAACAACTGGTGTAAAAATGTTACATTGGTCGCCAGCTTCTGCTTCCCAGACATCAAGTTTCTGACTGTTAACTCCAGACCATTCTATCTGCCTAGAGAGTTCACTGTGGTTAGCATCACTGCTGTATCTGTCCCCCCATTGTTAATTCAAGAGAGGCCATGAAGATTCTATAGCAGGCTATCTCTGAGTATCAATCTGCACACGCACAAGGTGTTTTCATCATTGCTAGGGGTATTTTACCCGGTCTAACTTGAAGACTGTGCTCCCTAATTTGTACCAACATGTGGATTTTGCAACTCTGGGAGGAACACTCTAGATCTGGCTTATTAGAAAAAAATAAAATGCATTCAGAGTAGCCCCCCTGCTCCCACCTTGGGTCATCAGATGACCTATCTATCATGCTAATTCCTGCATATAGGCTGTACTTCATCAGGGCTAAACCAACAGGGCTAAACCATGGAGACACTCCAGGAATGTTTGAAATGCTCTCACTGGAACGGGTTCTAAGCTGCAGCAACCTATTATAACAAGATAAATATTGATGATAAGTATGCCATAACTGTTTAGACAGTCTACATCAGAGGTCATGGAATAGCAGACCGCTGTCCGGATCCGGACCCACCTGCTGGCTAATCCAGACCCAGCCTGATTTAAAACATTTATAAATTACTGTACTTCTCCTGTTAATAAGATAAAGCCTTCCGGAGCAACCGGGAACAGGCTGCGTGTGATACAAATTAGCCAATGAGCTGCTGTCAGTATGGGTCACCATTGCTAGCTACTCTTCGATACAGCTGGCAAACCTGTGGCAAGCCGGGCGATGGGAAAGAAGGAGAATACAATCAGAAAAAGAAAGTAGAGAAAGTGTGGACTGCTGGAAGAAGTGCAGTGAACTGGTAAAATGGTGTGCTCAAAGACAAATTTTAAGTATGTTTGGCCCAACCTGCTGCTGTGAAGCAAGATTTTCCACCATGAACAGAATCAAAAATAAATATCGATCTAGTCTCAAAATGAGCTCCTTGATATGTGCTTGAGAATGGCTTTGCCTTCATTCAAACCAGGTTTAAAGCCTTGCAGGGCAGCCTAAAGCCCACTGCTCTCATTAAGCCACAAAAAAGGAAGAAAAAAAAAAACGTCAGTCTTTTGTTATATATACATATATTTTTTAAATTCAATATATAACATGGATGCATAAAAAACTTTTTTTTTTTTTTGTCAGAATTAAATTCTGTTTAAAGTAATAGATTATAATTACAAATGTCTCCGGACCTTTACCGATTGATGACATTCTTTATTCGGACCCCGCTGATTTTTTTTAAAACCCTGGTCTACATCAACAAATGCTGATGAAGATTTGCATTTATCCAAGTCATATTCATTCCAAAAAGGTTAAAAAAAACAATCCACTGGACTTTTTTTTAAGGTTTGAAGATGTTTCGCTTCCCATCAGGGAAGACTTTTCAATTCAAACTGTCAGGAATAGCGTTTAGTTCTAGGCTTTATACAGTAGCCCAACAAAGCCTTGTTTTTGTTTACAAAACATGCAAATTGAAATGGTCGAAGGGGTCCACCCCTTTGGAATGCAGGACGTTTGTCTTCTTTTGTTATCCTGGGAAGGTTTGAGACACTCAACAGCACTCCAGCAGTGAAAGCTTTTTGACATTAGGGAAAAGAGGGACTCTGCCTTGACACAGCTGACATGTAGAAGACTCTGAGGAGTGTCAACCCAAGGAAGGTACCAGGCCCCAATAACATATCTGGGCAGGTGTTCAAGGCGTGTGCTCACAGACATTTTTTAACACCTCGCCAGACCAATCCTTGGTGCCAGCATGCTTTAAGTCTGCCACCATCATTACGGTCCCAAAGAAGCCCCAGGTCACCTCATATAATGACTACCAGCATGTAGGACTGACTCCCATCATGATGAAGTGCTTGAAAGGCTGGTTAAAGAACACATCGTCTCAAGCCTGCCACCAACATTCGACCCGTTCCAGTTCGCCTGCCGATGAAACCGCTACACTGATGAAGCAATCTCCTCCGCTCTTCACCTGAGCACGGCACACCTGGAGGAGAAGAACACCTACGTGTGGATGCTGTGTGTTTCCTGGATGAGGCCGCCTTTTACAGCTGCTTTTTGTGTCTCTGCTTCTGTCTCCTTGAACCCCAGTCGGCCTCGGCAGATGGCCGCTCACACTGAGCCTGGTTCTGCTGGAGGTTTCTTCCTGTTAAAAGGGAGTTTTTTCTCTCCACTGTCGCTACAAGCATGCTTAGTGTGAGGGATTGTATTTGAGTCAATGAGTCGATGCAATCAACTGGTTTTCCTTAGATAGAAAACTTTGTATCAATTTGACTGTATGATCTGGTTGAACTGTAAAGTGCCTTAAGATGACATGTGTTGTGAATTTGGCGCTATATAAATAAACTGAATTGAATTGAATTGTTGCTGGACTTCAGTTAAGCTTTCAACACCATCATCCCACAGCATCTGATGGGCAAACTGGAACATCTGAGGTTCAATACACCCCTCCGCAATTGGCTGCTATACTTCCTCACAAGCAGACCTCAGTCAGTCCGGGTCGGACAGAACACTTCTGATGTGATCACCCTAAGCACAGGCTCCCATCATGGCTGCGTCCTGAGCCCCCTGCTGTTCACCCTGATGACACACGACTGTTCCCTCAGGTTCACCACCAATCACATTGTAAAGTTTGCAGACGACAACACGGTGATGGGGCCTCATCAGACACGACAACTACCAGGACTACAGAGAGGAGGTGGAGCAGCTGGTGGACTGGTGCAGAGAAAACAGCCGGATCCTGAAAGCGGAGAAGGCGAAGGAGATCACCGTCAACTTCAGGAAGAACAAGCGTAACCATGCTCCACTGCTCATTAACAGCTCAGCTGTAGAGGTGGTCAGCAGCACCAAATTCCTGGGGGTGCACATCACGGACACCCTCACCTGGACTGTTAACACCACCTCTCTGGTCAAAAGGGCACAGACGTGTTTGTACTTCCTGCGGAGTGTGAGAAGAGCCCACCTACCCCCACCCATCCTCACCACCTTCTACAGAAGCACCATAGAGAGCGTTCTGACCAGCTGTCTCACTGTGTGGTGTGCAGGCTGCAGCACCTCAGACTGGAAGAACTTAATAGGAGTGGTGAGAACAGCAGAAAGGATCTTCGGGGCTCCTCTTCCCTCCTACGGGCACAGGACAGGCAGCACTGTCCTAAGCCCTTAACATCATCAGTGACCCCTCATACCCCCACCATGGCGTGTTCTCCCTGCTGCCCTCAGGGAAGAGGCTTCGCAGCATCCGCTGCAGGACCAGCAGATTCCGCAACAGCTTCTTCCCCACTGCCATCAGATTGCTGAACTGTTGAAGGAAAAAAACTCTGAAGCAAGTCACAAATCGAGACTCATCGAGACTTATCTCAGCATCACACTAATAACATCGTACTGAATAGAACTCAACTCAAAAATATTTTTGTACTGCATTTTTGCACTATATGTGTTTGTTTTTTGCACTGCTCTGAACTCCATATCAATGCCTGTTGCACCATGTTTTTCTCCCAGAATGTTTACATTTGGTCACTGCTGCACTTTATGAAATTGATTTTGCAGATTTCACATTTATTTAAAGCACTCTCCTCTCCGATTTTACATTTGCAGATCACTATATTAGCAGTCTCCCTGGTCATACTCAGATTTCTAGTTGGAAATGTATCGACAGGTTTTTTGTATGGTAGTGTATCAGTGTATTCTATTTTGGCAAAATCTCACAGGGGAGAAGCAAAACTGTCAGCAGGTGAAGATAAGGTATAAAAACATTGTTCAAATATTTAGGACCTGTTCATCATCTCATAGAGTACCTTCTCATTTTGATTCTCTCTTCTATTACACATTAAAAACTATGGCTGTTTGACTGTGCAGTTGCCTTCTATAATGCTGTTATCACACATCAATGTTCTCTCTCTGATATCAAGTTGTATTAAATACATGTTACAGATGTTTGTGTAATGCTACAAATGCAAGGACGGATAAGGTTGTGGATGTATTCGTAACAACCACAAAAAACTTTGTGAAAATGAAAGATATGTGGTCTGAGAACCCTCTCCTTATAAATATTCAATTCTCTGTGAACTAATGTGGCTTATTCTTTAATTGGATGCTCATCAAACCTCTAAGGAGGATGGAGACAGAGGACACTCTGAGTTTATTGAACAACCAGGTTAGCTCTAGAGAGAATGTTACTATGACAGACATGTTCACAAGTCAAGTCTTAAGTCTTGACTCTCCAGTCCAAGGCCCATTTAGTGAAAGAAAAAATGCCGTCCGCCTGTTGAAAAGAACAGCATGAATGTAACTATTAACAATGCATAAAAAAATAAAAATAAAAAAAATGTGTTGGGATATCGTAGTCAGATGTATTTACAACTTAATTTCTTACTGTTGTGTTAAATCACAAATTGCAACATCTCTATTTTTCGTAATAGACAAATCTACAAAGAGTTTTTTTATTTTTTTAAGTGTCACAGTTTTGATTTTGTTATGTTTTATTTTGAGTATTCAGTTTTACTTTGTTCCATGTTTTCTAGTTTTAGTGGTTTAATTCTTATTTTGTTGTGTTCTCTGGTCATTTTTCAGTTTTCAGGTTTTTATTTGTTGCCCTCTGCTGCCCTCTTGTGTTCTCCTTTTTCCCTAGCTCCTTTCCTGATCTGGTCTGTTCACACCTGCTCCTATTCTCCTCGTTAGTCCTCTCTTTATTCTGTCTCCTTTAAATACTCTCTCTGTTCAGTTCTTCAGTGCTGGTTCCTCGTCTAACTTCCTCCAACTCTGACTGAGTCTTCCTCCTCGTGATGGTTTTCCCCCTGATATCTCCATGGTTTCTGGTTTGTTTGACTTTGTTTTAATGTTTTGATTTCTGGATTCCTGCCTCAGTTGTTTGTTTACTCTTCATTAAATCATCAAGAAACTCAGCTCTGCCTCCCTGCCTCTGCATTTGGGTCCTCACTCCAGAACCAAATCCTGACAGTAAGGTAGGATGATTATGACTGCGGTGTGATTGGTTGGAGGCTGGATGTTCAAGCTCTGTGGGGTCAGCAAGATCTAGGTCATGGTTGATCGTTTGAGGGACTCCAATTTAGGCCAGCGTCTCTCACCTGCATTACATTAAAGCACAGCCTACTGTGTATATAGTACATAGTACTATATATATGTTTTGTATTGTATTGTATATATATATATATATATATATATATATATATATATATATATATATATATGTGTGTGTGTAATTTGTCTGCACCATCAACACCAAGTCAAATTCCTTGTAAGTGCTATTCTAGTTGGCAATGAACTTCATTCTGATTCTGAAAAGTTGGGGTCTGTGAGGAGTTCGTGAAGCCGTGGAGGAGGACTATTGGTCATCCTCGAAAGTGTTCTGGCAAACTGTCTGGTGCGGGGAAGCAGTGCTTCACCAATACTATTTACAGTGTGTTAAGTTAAGTTATGACAAGCACTAAATTACAGCAAATCTAAGGTTATCTGGGAAATACAGGCTAAATGAGAATGTACAGCAGGGGGCAGGAATCACATGTTATTTGCAACTAAAAACAAAGAAGTACAGACCGTGGCTCGGCAAAAGAGAAACAGGAGAAATTAATCAATGATTTCAGAATAGGTCATACTGGTTTGTAACAGGTGTTTGTGAATATTGTTACCTGCCTAAAACTGTAAAATGTGTCTATGTAATGTCCTGCATATGAAAATGAAAGGACAAAGCATAGAGAAGCAATACATAACATGAAAATTTTATATACATTTGAAGATATTTCTTGAGTGAGTAAAACAAAAACTCAGGTTTCTTTTGGTTTTTGGGAAGTACCATCTTATTAAAGAGTATTGTGGTTGTTGTTTTTTTTTTTGTAAATGTCCTGTCCGCACTCCAGTCCAGTTGGTGGCCCGTAATGCACCTCATAAATTGGTCTGCCAACCTCCATAAAACACAGAAGAAGAAGGAGAAGCAGACCAATATGCTGCTGTTTTTAGAATATTCAGTCAAATTGTCAAATAAAACACAACTAAAAGATTTGGTGGTATGAATATTTATTGTTTTCTCCACCACATACTGTACACACATACATACACATATAAGAACATTACTGTTTTCATAACTGCATAAATATATTGTAACTTTCTACCCCAACCTTTCTCCTCTATCAGTGCTTGTGCTGGGAAGCAAAAAGATGAATCCTTGATAAAATGGGCAGAGCAAAAACATATCCAGGCGCCTTCCCTTCATGCATTCTTACGTCTGGAACAGCTTATCTTTCACAAGCACATACAAGTAAACAAGCTGAAAAGAGATGGGAATGTGATGTGATGGGAATTTAGATAATGGAATCAGACTCCTCAATGAAGTGAGTGTTTATTAGTCCTGTTTTAGTCGTCTGGACCAGCTCTGAGCCAGTACATTTATGGGTAAACATATTTTCAATACACAACTACACATACTTGTGTATTTTTAAACTTTCCCTTTAAAGTTTTTTTGAATGGAACTGAATTGAATAAAACATTACCAGTGATTAGATGATGTTTACACACGTTTTAGTATCAAAAGAGAGTTAGGACACCAATCCTATAAGAAAGTTATTTAAGGTGATAAGCACGAAAAAAACCTAAATGTCCATTTAGACTTTGTGGTGAAAAAGTATTGGTGCAAAGGGTCATTTTCTGTGAGTACAGTGACTTATTGTTTCTCTTATTTATTTATTTTCAATATTGTGACTGGTCTTAATTTTAAATAACAAAGTCATTAAGTTTTGTAATTTTGCCACTGAAAAATGTAACGGTTTGCATCCAACCTTCTTCCTCTGCTTTTTTTTTCTCTGATAAACCACTTTCTGCCATCTCTGTGACTCCTCTTTTTTTTTTGTAGGTTGTTACAGCCATTTATTATGTTCCTCTTTGTAAAATTAGTTAATTTTTACCTTAAAATAAAGCTAAAAAAAAACATTTTAACTGAATAACCTAAAATAAAACATTTACCAGAAGCGTCACTGATACTGTTTTCCAAAATCTTTAGGTACCACAAACATCACAAACCAATGCAAGACCAATCTGTAAGGTTTATATATTAATGCGTTTTGTTGTATGTATGTTGTTTTACTTCAAGAAATATATAAATGGTAACAATGTACATCAAACTATATTAGCAACATTTATTTTAGAAGGATAACAAAAAGCTGAAAATATGAAATATTCAGACACAAGAAGTTACATTCCCTTTTACTGCTGACATTTTAGCACTAACCAATGCAAGACCAGTTTGCAAAGTTTACAAATGAATGTGCTAGTATTTTTTTTATTGAAAGAAGTATGTTGTTTTACTTTGAATCATAAATAATTTTCTATGTTTACTCAATCTTCTTACCTTTATAAATTTATTGGCAAAATGTATTTTAGAGGGAAAACAAAAAGCTGAAAATGTTAAATAGTCAGACAAAGACACCAGGAGTTGCATTCACTTTTTCCTGCTGTCATTTTAGCACTAACTCCTCCCACTTTCTGTCAAAGATTGCAGCTCTGATTCAAAGATGCAGGTATTTGATAGGAGAAAGCTGAAACATGAGACATTCAGTAATGCTGAACGTGAGCATGGCACAGCAAGGTAATAATGTGGAGTCTGAAAAATGTTCTTGTTCGATTTGTCTGGATTTACTAAAGGATCCAGTGACTATTCCCTGTGGACACAGCTACTGTATGGACTGTATTAAAAACCACTGTGATGTAGAGGATCAGAGGAGAATACACAGCTGCCCTCAGTGCAGGAAGGAGTTCATACCGAGGCCTGGACTGGTGAAAAACACAATGTTAGCAGAGTTGGTGGAGGATCTAAAGAGGACTGGATTTCAGGCTGCTGCAGCTGATCACTGCTATGCTGGACCTGAAGACGTCGCCTGTGATGTCTGCACTGGGAGGAAAAAGAAAGCTGTGAAGTCCTGTTTGGTCTGTATGGCTTCATACTGTGAGAATCACCTCCAGCCTCACCATTATGCTCCTACTTTTGACAAACATAAAATTATTGTAGCTTCTGCTAATCTACAGCAGAACATTTGCTGTCGTCACAATGAGGTGATGAAGATCTTCTGTCGTACTGATCAGCAGTGTATCTGTTATCTCTGCTTAATGGATGAACATAAAGGCCATGAAACAGTCCCAGCTGCAGCAGAAAGGACTGAGAAGCAGAAGGAGCTCCAGGAGAGACGACAACAAATCCAGCAGAGAATCCAGGACCAAGAGAAAGATGTGAAGCTGCTTCAACAGGAGGTGGAGGCCATCGATGGCTCTGCTGATAAAGCAGTGGAGGATAATGAGAAGATCTTCACTGATCTGATCCGTCTGATCCAGAAAAGAAGCTCTGCTGTGAAGCAGCAGATCAGATCCCAGCAGGAAACTGAAGTGAGTCGAGTCAAAGAGCTTCAGGAGAAGCTGGAGCAGGAGATCACTGAGCTGAAGAGGAAAGATGCTGAGTTGGAGAAGCTCTTAAACACAGAGGATCACACCCAGTTTCTCCAGAACTACCCCTCACTGTCAGCACTCAGTGAGTCTACACACTCATCCAGCATCAATATTCGTCCTCTGAGATACTTTGAGGATGTGACAGCAGCTGTGTCAGAGCTCAGAGAGAAAATACAGGACATCCTGAGAGACACAAACTTTTCACTGGCAATAACTGAAGTAGATGTTTTACTGCCACAACCAGAACCAAAGTCTAGAGCTGGATTCTTAAAATATTTCAGAGAAATTACTCTTGATCCAAACACAGCAAACAGCTATATGGCATTGTCTGAAGGGAACAGGAAAGCAACCTTAACAAAGCAACAACTGTTTTATGACAGCCATCCAGACAGATTCACTACAAGGTTTCAGGTACTGAATAGAGAAAGTCTGACTGGGCGTTGTTACTGGGAGGTGGAGTGGAGAGGAGAAGTTTTTGTAGCAGCCTCATATAAAGATATCAGCAGAACAGGAGCATCAGTTAATTGTGTGCTGGGACACACTGAAAAATCATGGGGTTTATTTTGCAGCAAAAGAGGCTACAAATTTTATCACAACAAGGTGCAAACTCCAGTGCCAGGTCGAGTTTCCTCCAGAATAGGAGTGTATCTGGATCACAGAGCAGGTATTCTGTCTTTCTACAGTGTCTCTGAAACCATGACTCTCCTCTACAGAGTCCAGACCACATTCACTCAGCCTCTATATGCTGGGATTAGGCTTCTTGATGAAGGAAACTCTGCTGAGTTAAGTAAAGTTAAATAAAATGATCATAAAACCAGTTAGAGGGGAGTACTTTCAACCATGGTTCAAGATTTCTGTATTTGAGAGATAGAAAACATCTTGAATCAGCTCGTATCTTTCTTCTTAGTGCTTGTAAGACTACAGAAAAAGCAAATTTCAAATGCACAACTAATACAAAAGAAACAGCTACTATGTTTAGGATGCAAATGCTTGACATCACAACTGGTGAATGTTAAATCCATCTAATGGATTTTATGCATATACTATAGAATGTGGCTGTTTCTCAATTCACAAGAACACCAGTATGAACTCCTGTTCTCGCCAAGTATGTTCTTGACAAGAACACAGGAAAATATGGAACGGGAACATGCAGCATAAATATGGGTGACCTGGAACCGAGGCGTACTAGTGACGTCACCACATGCTAGGCACGTCTGGAGCTGTATTTCACCTCCTGTTATTAATAGGGTTAGGGTTAATAATCAATTATTTTTTCATGAAGTGGGTGGCTAATAATTAACGCAGTCAGCTAAATAAAAATCAAACCAACATGGTGAGCATATAGAGGATTGTGCAACCCTCAAAAGAAATACAACCCCACACCATTACTGGCAGGCAGCAGATTGCCCTCCAGTGTCTCCAGATTTTTTTCTACATCTGTGACATGTTCAAAATGTAAATCTACTTTCATCTGTGAAGAGCACAGGGCAGGAGTGGTGAATTTGCCAATTCTGGTATTCTCTTGAAAAATGTCCTGCAGGGTGATGGGATGTGAGCACAATCCCCATCTGTGACTATCGGGCCCTCATACCATCCTCGTGGAGTAATTTCAAACCATTTTTGCAGACTCATGCAGATTTGGGGCCTGCTGGAGGTCCTTTTTCAGGGCTCTGGCAGTGCTCCTCCTGTTCCTCGTTGCGCAAAGTCGGAGGTAGTGGTCCTGCTGCTGGATTGTTGCCTTCCTACCGTCTCCTTCAAATCTCCTGGTATACTGGTGTCTTTACTGGTAGTGCCTCCAGCCTCTGGATACTACGCTGACAGACACAGCAAACATTTCCACAGCTCACATTAATGCGCCGTCCTGGATGAGCTGCACTAACTCAGCCACTCCTGTATGTTGGATAGTCTGCTTCATGCTACCACGAGTGTGAAAGCACCACCAACATTGAAATGTGACCAAAACATCAGCCAGAATGCCAAGGTATTGAGAAGTCTTTGTGGCAGATCCACTCCTTTGTTTATTGTGTCTTGCTATCTGCAAATAATTTCCACCTGCTGTCTATTCACTTTGTACAAAAACATGTGAAAATGGTATTCAACCACTGTTGTTTACTAAGTTCCCTAAGATTAATTTTACAGAAGTTATTTTAAGTCCTGTATTACCTTTATTTCTTCTTTTTTTTGTAGCAGTGTATATAAATCTGTACATATTACATGTCTTTTTTGTAAGAGTGATTTATGATCATTTCTAAAGTGGTTGACCTTTTCATCTTTAATAATTACATTTCTAGCTTTGTGGGGCACTATACAAAGTTTACTTTACTAAAGATGACTCATACTGGTGTTGTATCATAAGCCATGATATTAAATTTGGACATGGGAAACAATGTCAATGCTAGGTTTCTTTTTTGTTTTTTGTTTTTTTGTTGTTGTTGGTTTTGCAAACTCCAAAGCATGCAGACCCAGCAAAACAGTCTCACAGAGACACACAACAGGGACATGTGATCCGGCCCTCAATGCCGACTAAAAAGTTATTTTATCCTTGAAGAGCTATACCTGAGTATATATAGAGTGAGTTTAAGGGCACATAATTATGGAGATTGTTTTTTTTTAAATGTGCTGCTGTAACACGGTTTAAAGTAAATCAAACCATCCTCTTCATTCAAAATCCCACATGTTCCTCTTGTCTTGGTTTTAAGAGTAACTAATGCTAATTCTCACTGAACAGACTGAATGAGCAAAGTGGGCCTGAAGACACTGCTACAGTGGACTGGCTAGCCACCTGGGGCCAGCTAAGCTAACCCGTTTTCTTTCAGCCTCATCACAGTTTTAATACATTCCTGAGTCATTATTAATTTTTTACCATAAAACCAAATGAAACTTAACTGTTTTGACTGCATGTAACATCTCTGCATCAGGGTTTTATTCACATTTATCTGCTGCTATTTTAAAGGAAACTTTCAGTGCATTGAACCTAAAACATATTTCTCATATTTTGAAGGGACTTTCAAACCCCTCTTCATCTTTTCTTTATTTGAGCTTTTTAAAGTAATTTTTAGTACCTGTGTAGTTGTTAGAAATAATAATGATGTGTGATTATCAGTTAATAAAGGTACAATTGTATTTTCAACCCATGGTCTTTTGTGTTTATTTTATGCAATTAACGATTTATCACTCAGGCTGGATTTACTCTTTTTTAGTTGCATCTGAATGAACAGAGACACCATTAGTTTGTTGGTGATTAATAACTCTGCTGATAGCCATAGTCTAAATTACTACATTGCTGAAAGACAACTGAATTTTAACACCCAGATTCAGCAGTCCAACCTTTTTGGAAAGAGACTAAGCACCCTGGTCTGTAAGCAAATTACAGTCATAATCATTAGACTGATGATCCTTGATTTGAATGACCTATTGATTAACTTGCCAGGATTTGGTTGAGGTTTGTGTACCGAAATGCAGAGGCAGGGAGGCAGAGGTGAGTTTCTTGTGGATTTATTGAAGAGTTAACAAACAATTGAGGCAGGATTCAAAAATCAAACATCAAAACAAAATCAAACAAACCAGAAACTATGGAGACATCTGGGGGAAAACGATCACGAGGAGGAAGACTCAGAGAGACGGAGTTGAAGGAAGTTAGACGAGGAACCAGCACTGAAGAACTGCACACAGAGAGTATTTATGGGAGACTGAAACAAAGAGAGGGCTAATAAGCAGATTGGGAGCAGGTGTGAACAGAGCAGAACAGGAAAGGAGCTAGGGAAAAAGGAGAACACAAGAGGGCAGCAGAGGGCAACAAATAAAAACCTGGAAACTAACCAGAAAACACAACAAAATAAGAATCAAACCACTAAAACTAAAAAACAAGGAGCAAAGTAAAACTGAATACTCAAAAGAAAACATAATAGAACCAGAAATGTGACACAACTATAACCACCAGTTCTAGTTATTTAATATACTCATAATCAAGCAAGTTTCACAACAGAAGTGATGGAACTGCTGCCTGACCCATAGGGAAGAAAAATATTCCTGTTTTGTTGTTGTTCCCATTTATTTTCTCATTTTGCTCTTAGCTCACCAGCGTTGCTTAATAAATTCAAGGAAGTCAGCCAGTAGGGGTGGAGGTTAGTGACAGCTGCTGTATGTGCTGGCCAGCATCTGTTTTAACTCAACACTTTACCCTAAATTTATTCTCTCAGTTGATGTCATCCACATATTTTGAAATAAATTATGACGTCACTTAATGGAGGGACCAATTTATTCAAAATGTAAATATCACAAAAAAAAATTTACTTGAAAAAAAATCTGGATTTTCAAGCTCATCTTCTTTACCTATGCCTATAATTTCACCAAAAAGAAAAAAATTGAATTGCCTTACTAAATAAAAATGCCCATGAGCTGAAACAGGGTACGTAGCAAACAGAAGGGGTAGCCCTCCAACAAACGCCAAGATCAACAAAACACTTAAAAAGATAACAAAGTAGCTCCGAAAAGAAAACCGATCTGTGAAGTTGTCTCTATGAAGAAATGACAACGAATAGTTCTCAGCAGCAATTGTGGAGACAGAAATAACTGATTTTAATATACACCTTTTAACCACCTTGTCTTTTGATCACTATTGATCATTTCAGTTTAACAAACTCAGCAGAGGATCCATTAAAAAGCCCAATCCCAGCATATAGAGGCTGAGTGAATGTGGTCTGGACTCTATGGAGGAGAGTCATGGTTTCAGAGACGCTGTAGAAACACAGAATACCTGCTCTGTGATCCAGAAACACTCCTATTCTGGAGGAAACTGGACCTGATACTGGAGTTTTAATGCTCTTGTGCCAAAATCTGAAACATTTTGAGACTAAATCTAAAGTCCACGAATTGTCATTTAATCCAAACTCACACTCTTTTTTCCTTTCTTCTCTCCTGATATTTTTGTATGAAACAGCTATTTCAACTCCCCCGTTCCTCTCCACCTCCCAGTAACAACGTCCAGCCAAACTCTCTTTACTCAAAACCTGAAACAAAGTAGTAAATCGATTTGGATGATCAGGATAAGGCTGCTGGTTTTCTATTTTTGTTACTTTTCTGTTTCCCTCCGATAATACCAGAAAACGGTTTGCTGTGCTCGGATCCAGGGTGATTTCTCTTGCATATTTTAAGAATTCAGCTCTGGTGTTTGGTTCTGGTTCTGGCAGTAAAACGTCAGCTTCAGTGACTGTCACTGAGATGTTTGTCCATGTGTCTCTCAGGATGTCCTCTAGTTTCTCTCTGAGCTCTGACACAGCTGCTGTCACATCCTCAAAGTATCTCAGAGGACGAATATTGATGCTGGATGAGTGTGTAGACTCACTGAGTGCTGAAAGTGGGGGGTAGTTGTGGAGAAACTGGGTGTGATCCTCTGTGATTGAGAGCTTCTCCAGCTCAGCTTCTTTCCTCTTCAGCTCAGTGATCTCCTGCTCCAGCTTCTTCTGAAGCTCTTTGACTCGACTCACTTCAGTTTTCTGCTGGGATCTGATCTGTTTCTTGAGTTCAGAGGTTCTTTTCTGGAGGAGACGAATCAGATCAGTCAAGATCTTGTTACTGTCCTTCACTGCTTTATCAGCAGAGCCATTGATGGCCTCCACCTCCTGTTGAAGCAGCTTCACATCTTTCTCCTGGTCCTGGATTCTCTGCTGGATTTGTTGTCGTCTCTCCTGGAGCTCCTTCTGCTTCTCAGTCCTTTCTGCTGCAGCTGGGACTGTTTCATGGCCTTTATGTTCATCCATGGTGCAGAGATAACAGATACACTGCTGATCAGTACGACAGAAGATCTTCATCACCTCATCATGACGAGAGCAGATGTTCTCCTGGAGATTCTTAGAGGGGTCCACCAGCTTGTGCTTCTGTAATGGTGGAGCATCATAGTGAGGTTGGAGGTGATTCTCACAATAAGAAGCCAAACAGACCAGACAGGACTTGACAGCTTTTCTCTTCACCTCAGTGCAGACATCACAGGCCACATCTTCAGGTCCAGCATAGCAGTGATCAGCTGCAGCAGCCTGGGGTCCAGTCTTCTTCAGATCCTCCACAAACTCTGCTAACATGATGTTATTCTTCCTGCACTGAGGGCAGCTTTGGATCCTTCTCTGATCTTCTGCATCCCAGAAGTCTTTAATACAGTCCATACAGTAGCTGTGTCCACAGGGAATAGTTATTGGATCCTTCAGTAGATCCAAACAGATGCAACAAGAGAATTTTTGTTGTTCCAACTGACCACTTTTCTGAGCCATTTTGCTTCTCAGTAGCAGAGATATGTGAGTTCCGTTTACTCAAAATAGAAACTACCTTATACTCGTCACTGCAACCAGTATTTTTGGTTACACCCATTGCTGGTCAAATGGGGAGGGAAGAAGGAAATATATTTGACTGCATTTGTTTTGCCGCATATGTGTTTACAAGTCCAGACAGGCATATAATCAAAGTACCTAGAGAACACTCTCGTCAGTTGTATCTAACTTTCATTTCTATTCACTGTTAACTGCTGACACACTTCAAACTCTTTAATTCATAGAAGTGATCAGAAATGGTTAATCTAAAATAAGTGAGAAAAAATAATACTGTCACAATATAATAAACCTAAATTATAATGATGTTGCTATTAAGAAAATATGGAATACTTTGAATAACTTTTATTTGTCTTTGAATTCTTTGCTATTGATCCTGTTCATTTAGAATTTTGCTCTACAAAAGCAAATGTAAAGTACCAGTTGGCAGCTTATTTTAATACTAGCTGCTAAAAAAAAAATACTGTGATTTTTTATTTCCTTGCAAGAGAACATTATCAGCTTGTAAGGGTGGTTCAAATTGACCTCGAGAGCAGACACAAAGTAGCCACATTTGCATGCTGACGCTCCCCTGACATATAGCTAGCAACCCAAATAGCCCAAGTCAAGCTCCACTAATGTCGCTTTAGTGTGTCTTAAATATCTGCTGCTTGCTGGTTTTAACTTAACTTGTTATATCTGGATCTAATGGAGTGAGTCACAGTGCTTTATTCATTTTGTAAAGCAGAACATCACCACCAGCGTCCAAAGGTCCACCAAAGATAGAGATGCTCCCAGTTTAGGGAGTCAGCATCAAACTGTGGCTGGCTCATGCTCACATCTACTGTGCTTCTGTATAACCAGGACTTAAAACAGTATTTCTTTATCTCTCACTAAATTCCTATCATATAAATACACAGAATAGTAATTAAATGAGTTTAATGATTTGACAATTATAAACTGGAAGCCAGAGCTGAGCTGAAACAAATCTGAGAAAACCTTTTTTCAAGAGTGTAAAATGTGATCATCGTATATCTTTCTTAGATCTTCTTTTTTCGTCCTTTTCTTTGCATTTTCTGTCTAGTTTTCAGATTTAACTACACAAATGTTTTATCTAGCTATATGTGCAACGCAAATGCCAGACTTAATTTCTGTATCCCAGCTTTTCCTGGCTTTTTTTGTGATGGTATTTAAACCGATTTTCACAGGCAAAAAAAACACAAGAAAAACTTGCAAACACTTTTAGGTTTTTTCTTCATGAGCAAATAATTTAAAAAAGAATGAATAATGTTCACTTTAAAAGGGTTATCAAAAACAAACTGCATGAATAGTTAATGCTCTGCATGATTAGAATGCTGTGAAGGAAGCGGCTGTAGTAAATGTAGATATAAGCATGAACCCAATAAATATCCTGCCTATGGTCAAAAGTGCAAAGCTCACAAAAGAATCACTTATGTGTCGAAGCAAGAAATATAATAAAGGCTTCAAACAAAGGATGGGAAGTCTGAATGTAAATTAATAATAAAGAGATATTTATTGGAGCTAATGAGTCCAAAATAAAGTCAAATGATAATGTCACCAAGAGGGGAAAGAAAAAATGATCACAAGTTATTAAGGTGAATGGATCACACATTCAAAGTTGATACCAGGGCAGACTGCAAAGTTTTTTCCTGTTACAGCTTCAAGAAAGGTGATAAAAATAATGCACCGCTGCAAAATAAGGACTGAAGTTACTGGTGTATTCTCACCAGAAGATGGTGCAATTAGTCCAGATAAAGCTAAATTGTATGTACAGAAACAAATCACATGAGTTGGATTTTTAAATAATAGAAACTGACTTACCTGCAGTCCTGGGGGGAGATTCATGAAAACAGTTAGAACTGATAAAGAGAATCTAAAAAGTGGAAATTAAAGAAAAAAACAAATATCAAAAAATAGTAAAACTCTGTGTTTGAAGGTTTAGGTTGTGTACCCTGTGAACATCACATTTAATTAATAGTATAGTCAAGTACACTTGACTATACTATTGTTAAGTATATGAAATATACTTTAGAATAAGTAAACTCTAAGTGCACTGCCTGATTTTAAGTATGAAATTAGTGCACTTTTAGTATACTTGAATAAACTACTTTTTACTAATGGACATTGAAAAATAGAATTTGATGTAAAGTAATGTTGCTACACACTCATGTACAGTAGGTGGCGGTATGCACCTTAAAGTTGCTTGCGATCCGCCATAATAGAAAAGAAGAAGAAGAAACAGATTCTGACGGACACTCCTCGCCAGTTGGTGGCAGTAACGCGCACCGAAAAGCTGTTTGCCACCGTCAACAGGAAGTCGTTATATGACGCAGCTGCTTTCTATTGCCGCGTTTTTTTGTAAATTCTACAATACGGGTGTAGTTGAAGTGTTGGAGCTGCTTTCTCCGATCACAGTGTACCCGGAGCAAAAAAGAGGCTTTCTCAAAGTGAAGAAGAGGATGAACCGGAGAGAATATTCAACGTAAAACTAACTTCACCCCAGTCTCAACAGGTGGGCCAACTTCAACTCCTGGTTGTTCAACAGCCCGAAGCCGGGATACTAACACCCTCGCATCCAAAGCTAGAAAATAACAATACACTTATTACTAAAATCATTATAGATGAAGGAGGCAGAGGAATAACTGAACATCTGACACAGAGAGCAGGAAAGAGAATGGAGGCAGAAAGAGTCAAGGGGGGTAGAAAGAGAAGCCATTGCTATGCTAAGCTAGCGCTAACCTAGCTGCTCCTTACTTCCAGAAATAAAACCGTGTGAAAGCGCCACGTGCTCAGTTGAAAAGTTCCGCACTAGGTGCTGTATTTTTAAATGCTTCTGGACAGTTGGGGTTACTTAGGCTACAGAGATATCACAGAAAAAAAAAGAAGTTAAGAACGGAGATGGCCTGAACCATAATGGGCTGAATTCAAATTCATGGGTTGTGTTCCAGTTCAAACAGTTCTGGCTTTCAGCCGCTTTCACGTTCGCTTAGCAACCGTGATAGTTGATCCACAAATCAGGGAAAGACTTAGAGTTTATTTGTCATTTTGTTTACACCATTGTAATACAAAACTGAAATTCGTTTGGAACAGCTCTCTGGACAATTTCATATTTTTTAAAAGTGCAGCCTTGAAAGATAGTAAAATATATATATATATATAATATAATTCTAACTTTCTAACGTTTTTGAAGAATGAATACCAAACTTTTCATACCTTTCTTGCTAATTTTTTCTTGTTTTATTGTAAAGTGAACTTAGACTACACTCATGAGATTGTAGAGTGGAATAAAGATGACAACCACCCCAAAATAACAAGGAGCATTACAGTGTCCACATATATAGAACAATAACACAAAAAAAACCTACATAGAGCCTACACACACAAAATACACACATTCCCAGTCATGGTTCACCATAGTTAAAGCCGTTGGAAAGCCACATGAATAATATACTGAATGTAGAAAAGAGACGGAAAAATGATTAAAGATAGGTGTCTTTGATGCAGATAACAGGTTCAAACAGGTGCCAATAATACAGGTAACGAAGAAGTTACAGGTCTGTGAGAGCCAGATATCTTGCTGGTTTGTGGATGATCAAATACTTATTTTCCACCATAATTTACAAATAAATTTGATTAAAAAATTAATTTAATTCCTACAATGTTATTTCCTGGATTTTTGTCTCTCATACTTGAAGTGCACCTATGATGAAAACGACAGACCTCTCTTATTATTCTGAGTAGGAGAACTTGCCCAATCAGTGGCTGACTAAATACTTTTTGGCCCCACTGTACATGTATTATATTAAACTGCATTACTAATATTCAGCGGCACCAAGTTCCCTTTTCCTCTGATCATGGAGCAGCTAGGCTCCAAGGCTAGATAGGACTCATTTGTAGGCCTTATAACAAGGAGTCTTGGAATCCGACCAGACCTCAGTGCAGCGCTATGATGTAATCGACCTACAAATCTGGCCTTCAGTGGACGCAGTCCCTGAATTTGAATTCAGCCATATTATATGTAAACTCCTCATTGAGCACTGTCAGCAGCGAGGCCGACGTACCTAGAGGACAGCCATGTTGATTGGACCACAGTTCAGACAGCTGCTGCCATAGCGAATAGGAGACTCCTTAGATTTAATTTTAATCACATGAAGGATGAGTTGGAGATAATATTACAATAATCTCTTAGATTTCACAATCCCATAAAAGACCAAAACTAATTTTAAAATAACCTTTCAGGTAGATTAAACATATCTATTCAGGTTAGAAACTATTACAAATTAACTCAAACTGGATGAGATATATGCAAAGCTATATATTTTGCAAATAAATATTACTCTAATAAATACAAGTTTTACATTAATATATTAGAAGATTATGTTTTCTAAATATTACACATTTATATAGAATATTATTAATCAGTATTTTTGGATTGCCCTTTGATAATGAGTATTATTACCACAGATAAACAAATCATTATAAAGGGGTGCTAATTATCTTATATTTAATAGTCCCTTTTTTTTCTTCTTTTTTTTTTAAATTGATTCTCTCCTGCTAAGATCAGGGGGGATGGAATGTTCAACAGAGCTATGGCTCCGGGTGAGTTTTGCAACTAAATTGAGAAATCTAGGATTATTCTTATTCTCCTCTATTAATGAGGAGGATTTTACTGCTCTTGATTTACGAAGGGTCCCCTTATACTGCAGTAAAATATTTTTCCTGACTAGGTAGGATTCCCATAGGCATCTAGAGCTCGATTTTCTGTCCAGTTTCCTAGCATTTTGCTTAAGAATGCAGCTCCGCATTAAACCAGGGAGCAAGTTTTCTTTTTTTAAAGTTTTTCTTCATCAAGGGCTGCGTTGTCTAAGGCAGTACACAGAAAACTAGCAACCTGTGAAGGGAAATAAGCTAAACTCTGCAGCACTGCTCAGCGAGAGAGAAAGTGGAACAGATACTTTAGTACTGCATTACCTG